TTACATGATCAGAAACTGTCAAACCATGAAGACTCATGCTTGGATGTGCAAGGAATGTCTTTCTGTTTTGGGTTTTGTTTCTTTGAAGTACACCTTGTCTTGCTCAGTTAGGCCTCTTCAGGTTTACTACCCTACCTTTCTATTCTTTGAGGTGTCCATGGTTACCCCCACACTGCTGGTGCACTACACCATGCTAATAATTGGAACGGAAAAAAATGATAGAGTGCAAAATGATCTGTTTTCAGGCATTAAGCAGTCAACTAGATGTAAATTCCATGAAACAAAAAAAGGTATTATTTACAGATTTATTGTGATGTTAATTAATATTTACATCTTGGAATGAAAAATAGGAAATGTTAATGATTGGCTTTACTAAGAGGATCAATTGATGCCAACGTGAAAGCCAGGAAGAGAAGGCAATTATGCAAACATCACATGCATCCTAATTTCAGTATGGAAAGTTACATTTCAAACCTAAATTCAGGAAAATAACATGGAAAGTTTTACTACAAAATCTAAACATGAGAAAGATTTAAGTGAAAAATAAGCACATTGCATATGTCAGATAATCTAGTCTGATTATCTGAGCTGTGCTAGCTACAGGGAAGCACTTACCCTTGAGTCCAGCTAGAAGTTAGCAGGGTAAGAAGGAACAAACCAGAATAACATAAAGACTAGCAACAAGGCTCAGGAAAGCAGACAGGAACCCTAACCTAGCGCTAAAGTACTTGGGTTCAAGCAAAGAATGAAAAAGAAAACTTAAAAAAAATCCCCCAAAACAACGACAACACTTACAGCTGAAAATTTCTTATGAAGCTCAATAAACCTAGCCATTAATTATGGTGGAACAAATAATTACAATTCTCAAAACAGCCAACTCTTGGTATATGATGTGATTAACAGCCATTAAATATAAACACACATTAAAAATGAAGTATAATCACAAGTGGTATGTAAAACAATTACTGACCAATCTTTAACGTTTAAAAGAAATTTTTTTCAAAAAATGAAAGCTGAGTATGATTTTTTTTGGTTTAATGTACTACTGACATAGAATGGACAAAGATTGGTGCTCCCATACAAGTGACCACTTTTATGAAGCTTAATATATTGCCAAAGGGTGTAATATATCTTGGCAGCATTATTAACTACAGTACTGTACATCATTTCAACAGTAAACAAGCATGGCTTTGGGATTTTTCTCTTATAAATGCAAATATTTGAGAAAAAGTATAGCTTTGTGTTAGTGTATTTTTTTCTTTTAAATTGTAGCAAAACAACAATAAAAAGGCAGAAATTCTCAGTCTAACAGGTGCTGTTTCACCCACGTAAAAGGGATTGTAGAGTCATACTCAAATTAATGAATAGCAGGATCTATTTTTTTCCAGTATTTAAATTGCACAAAAAATACACTCCACCCTTGCTTAGAGCTGTTTGTTTATTTCAAAGTCAAGTGTTGCTAGCCAGTTAGAAGACAAGTTGAGTAATGCATAAAGTTTATATTTGCTAAGTCAAATTATGTGGGAACCAAATGAATTCAGCATTACTCCCAAGTTTCCCCACTGCAAAATGTGTTGTTCTCAAGTTTCTGTTTAACAGACAGCTACATAACAAGACTGGGGTGTTGGATTTGTGTGTGTGCGTGTGTGTATAACAGAAAACAGTTCTACCATCTTTAAGCTGCTTACTCTGCCCAGGAAAGCAATAACAAAACAATTTATAGAGACACTGCTTTAACATTTACTTTCTTGCAAGTGCTTCGTTTGCCAAGAACTTTACCCTATAATAAGCAAGAAAAAATAAGATCTGCAAGGTATATAGTTAAATGCACAAGAATAAAGTGCTTAACAGTAGTCCTTACCTTTCTGCAGGCAACACAACAAATAAAACAACCCACCCCCAGCAAACCAACCCCCCTTTTTAAAATGCAATACTTGATTTGTTAGAAGTTAAAAGATTTAATCCAGATCTCTATCTATAACCAAAACACTTGACTGTAAACGTCATGTGTGCATGAAGGACTCGCTTCTGCTTTTTATGACTTAAGCTGCATGTATTTTACTACCCAATGATCTTTTAAATGAGCGCAGTATTCTGTCCACAGAACATACACTAATATACAGGCATACAAAAATAAGCCATTGGGCCTAGCTCCTTACTGCTGCCATCGGCAGAGAGCAGCTGAAATGCGTGGATGAATCTGGGCTCTGGCATGTTTTCCGCTTTCCCCTCGTCGCTTGTGGAGGAGGATCCGTTCCTCTAGATACGGTGGAAGAAATATGCAGGCGTTTGTCGGGGTTCCCAACTCTGCACTTTGGAATTACCCTCTTGAAGAGGTTTTTTTAGCAACTTTAGCAGTAAGGGGCTCCAACGACAGCAAAAGTGGTGTGGAAACCATTCTGCCAACGAGTCTTGGTGGTAGCGTAGAGGCCAAAGGCTTCAGATCTGAGGCTGGTGAGGATGGAACAAGGCCCTGAGAAGAACAGAGGGGTCTGCAGGGATGGCTCTTTACTCTAATTGATCACAGAGGATGAGTTTAGGGGTCTAAGATCCTGGCTTCTTTAGTTGGGAGGAGGGAGGCGAGAACCCAGCCTCGGTGGAAGAATGAGAAGGGAAGTGCAAGTTCGAACTTGTGGAGTTTCTACACCTGTATGTATGGCTAGTGTATGGTAATATACAGAGCGTGGGAGAATGAAGGGGCATGCCCCAAGTCTTTGATGGAGGGTTGTGTAATGGTTAGAAGAAGCTAGGATTCCTGTGTTCTGTTCCTGACCCTGCCACTCACTCACAGGCAAATCGCTGAACCTCTCCATCTCAGTTTACCTACCAGTACAATGGGTACAGTCCTGCTTACTCAGCCCCTTGGGTGCGTATGCTGAGGTCACAGAGGACAGGATGCGGGCCCTGACCATGGGCAGAGTGTGGCTCTGAGTTACACCCCTTGGTACTCGTTGTCTTCAGTTCCTGTAAGGTGGTGGGAAAGGCCTACTGCAAATGCCTTTGATTAGTGTATATTTGTTAAGGAAAAAGGTGTCTGAGAATGGGGACCGGCAAACACGTGGGCCAGACTCCCTCCCCAAGTATGGCCCCTTTGTGCTGCTCTTGCAGACCAAAAAGACTCCTCGGTCGGCATAGTCAGCTCTTATGCCAGGTCTGGTATAGGGTTATGTTGGGAAGAGAAGGGCTGTGCCCAGGGCTGCCGGTCTATAGCAACCGTGCCGACAGGCAGCCCCTTACAGGATGCTACCCGCTAACATACTTTGCAGTAGCTCTGAGGCTGCCCTAAAATATGCCACAGCTGGCACTGAACCAGCCCTAGCATCAGGGAGCCACACTCGGCTCCTTGCTCCACCCCTCTTCCTTGCTGCTTGCTTACGATACTTACGAAAATGGCTACTGACCAAAAAAGTTTTGCCCCACAAACGGATGCAAGGAGGACAGGATTTTGAAGAACCTTTTGACAAAGAATTTGGGTGGGTGAAAATATGATCCTTGTGATTGCACCAAGATCACCATGCCCCAGACAGGTCTATTGAATAAGCACAAGACATATGGGTTAAATCTCCCAATATGTAAGATGCTCCTGTTAGTCAGTTATCTACACTCTCTTTCATGGCCCCATGCCATTCTAGGGTCCAATCCTTCAGTCCTTAGTTAAGTCAATGACCCCGTAGGTCAATGGGAATTTTGATTCTGTAAGGTCAGAAGCAGGATCACAGAAGGGAAAACACGTAATATGCATTGACCAAGCTGTATCATGCTATGTTCTCATTGATGTTATAAGGGGACACAAGATATGCGGTGCAGAATAGAGTCCAAAATATGCAAGTACATGAAGCACAGTAAAAAAGGTCCAATAGTCTACATGTTCTACATGTCCCATAATTGTATTCTATGGGGACTGGAAATATAGTTCTTATAAATCCCGAGACTAGTATATTAAATCCTGATTTTAAAAAAAAAGCCCAAATGATGTTAACCCTAAGTAGATTTCACCTTATATGGAAAATATAGTTCTAAATTCCTTGATCATGTCAAAATATTCAAAACAATTACAGTTCTATAGATCCTATTTTAATTGCTCTTCAATTTTAAATGTAAAGTTGATTTAAATAGAAGAATTTCTTAAGGAATTTATGGTCTTTTCCTTATTTTACCTTGATGCACATGCATAATTCTTGTTGAAGTTAAAGGGAGATACACGTCCACAATTAAGAGCTATGAAAGGTGGTACTAAGATATGGTCAAGAAAAAATGTGCACCTCATTCATCCTTTTTTTACTTGTGTTGGCTTCTTATGATTGTTTAAATAATGGATTTTTGTTTAGTTTAAAATCAGATCATATTGACAAGGCAAAAAGAATCATGCTAAATATAAAATTAAGCAAACTATGAACAAACACACAGCATGTGCAGATAATCAAGAGTTATAAGATGAAAATTCACATCTATCTGATCTGTAAAAGCAACCTAATAAAAATACCACACACTTTCCCATAGTTTAAGTTTTCAACAGGGAGCCTCCTTTTGTGGGTGAGTTTTGCACCTTCACAATTGTACCTATGTTTTTGAATGTGCAATTGGATTGTGGGTGTAAATCTGGGCACTTGCACCTCTAAGTACCTGATCTCTGGTGCAAATCAAATTCGCTGATCTGGACCTGTGACTTTCTTCTTGTGGATGGGAAAAGCATTCCCGTAAAAGAGAAGGTTGGGCTTTAGCCCTATTGAAAATGTTTCTCCCAGAATCTCTCTTCTATCAAGTATTGCATTTTAAGATACTCATTTTACAATCTCCCCTCATAATTTGTTTCTTGAGTTTGATTGTGGGTAAAACACAAGGTTAACTGGTTATGAATTCACTGATGTAAGAGCAGCTTAGAAATCACAAAAAAAATATTTCAAAAAGTTGGAATTTTGTGTCTGAATATTTATTCACATCAGTGCAGAAACTCTTTCCATCAGAGACTTCTGCTGTCTAGGAGAACTTTATTTACTTACAAAATTGAGAGATTGGGGCATCTAGCTGGGGAACATTTCCTCCCTTAGCATTAAGCTTTTGAACTTGGGTCGGTGGCACAGGTTTGTGGGACTGGCCGGTGGCCCGGTACATGGCTTGAACCCACAGGATACGGTCCTGTTCATCATCACTTGCGAAAATCACTGTGTCTCCTTCTTTCACTGCATTGAAAAATGTTCTGCCACCCTCCAAACCTGGCAGGAGAAAAAAACAAAACATTTTAACGTGGTAACAGAGATTCGCAGAGCTTAACAGCAGAACTGATCATTCTGCATAACACAGGGTGTAGAATTTCACCCAGTGATTCTTGCTTTCAGCCCATTGAGCCAAAACATTCCTTTTAAAAAGTAACATCCAATCTTGATGTAAAGACCGCCAGTGATGGAGAATCCACCACCTCCCTAGGATAGCTATATCAGTGTGTGTGTATCAGCTGCTCTCAGTTACTCCAAAATAACTCGATTGACTTTAGAGTCAACAAGTTGCGTTGGTGTTGCTGGGAGCACAATGTGTGTCAAAGGGTTTAAGAAACTTTTCGCACTGTTTGATCTTAACAGTCTAATGGAGCATTAGATTGTTTTTACAGAAGCTAGATGTCAGTTATATATAACATTTACCAGCCCTTCTCTTGACATCAGGTGTTTGGGCCTGGTGCTGTAGTCCTTTTTCAAGCAAAACTCCCGCTATCCGCCGTGCCCTTAATACAACCCCCGACCAATTCTCATCTTTGAAACGAGACTCGGGGTGGGGACAGGGCTTCATGCATTTCTCTTTTCCAGAGGGTGCATGTTTGTTTCTTTCTCGCTCCCTGATTTGGGGCCAGATTCTGACCTCAGTTACAACAGTGTAAACCTGGAGTAAGAGAATCAGATCCTTAGCAGCTGTTTTCTGGCTACTTGCTGAAGTCCATTTAAGAGGGACGAACACATGCATTCCTCTGTCTACAGTAATCTCAATCTGTACAATCCCAGCCCCACTGAAGCCAATGGGAGTTTTACCACTGACACCGCTGTGGCCATGATTTCAGAGTGGAGTGGTGCGGTCCTTCCTAGTTCTTCACAAAGCTGAGCTGGTCATCTTTGAAGAACAGCTGAGCTCCCAACAGCCCAAAGTAGCATATCCCATCTGCTCAGATGGGAATGCAGTGCCACAACTCAGCACAGAGAACCAGAGCCCGATGATGAGTAGCACTGTCGTTGACAAGTGGTTCCATTGAAATCAGTAAGGTGTGGTGCTACTCAGCATGAGAAAAGGGATCAGGAAGTGGACTATTGTGTATACAAACAGGTACAGGAAAGGCCCTGGAAAAGCCAGATCAGTGAAAATGACACTCTGGTCTTGTAAGTATTATTTTTTTATGATGAAAACAGGTACATTGGTTGGCATAGGAGGGGAGTGCGTGTGTGTCAGTGGAGAATAACTTGAAGGCTTAGGCTGGGATTTTCAGAGGTGACTAGCTCAGTTAGAAACTCAGTTCCTACTGGTTTTACTGGGAGTACCTAACCCCCTTAGGTTCCTGTGAAAATGCCAGCCTCTGTGCCATGAAGAAAGACATTTGATAATATTTCATCTTCAGCTGGTTTCCCCAAATCAACTTAGAGGCTGTGTGGTTTTCAAGTTTTGAATAGATAACGATCAGTATAAACACAAACATATGTATAAGACAACCAGTCACGGCTTAGCTACAAAGACAGGGAAAAAAAAAAGGATCTGATTTTGCAGCTATATTTTGCAGTTTCATAAATGTGACAAGCTTTATCTCTTCGCAAAAACCGGTCACCTTTCCTCATACCTGGCTGTGGGTCAGTGTAGTCCACTGTGTATCCGTCAAGTTGCAGTAGTTCTTGAGGTTCGGCTTTTTTCTCCCGGTAACTGCACATAGCAAACGTATATTGACTAACCTGAAGAAAACCACAAAGCTAAGATGGCACCACGCTACCACAACAGGGAGATTCAAAGTGTAAATGCTTACAAATGATGTTCAATAACTGGAGTTTTGCACAGGGCATAGCCTCATTTACTGATCAAGAAGGAGATTTTATTTTCTTATTGATCGTTGCCAGACTATGACTTTAACATGCTTAGCAAAACATTTTCTTACACATTCTTTTACAGCCGATTCCTAATTCTCTGCATTGATACATATGTTTTTTTATTTCCCTAAAAGAGGAAGCGACATGCTTTAAAAACTCTATCATTCATCTCAGACAAGTGCCAGAGTGACACCCTGTCACAAACAATGTGAGCTAAATTGCTAGGTGCCAGTCATATTAAAGCAATCTTAAAATCCCACTGATCTCTGCAGTTGTTGTCATCAGTGCTGTAAATGGCAGCTCTCACTCCTCTGAGTTACCATCTGTATGACACGATACATTCAATGTCAAGTTCTTGATGGAAGCCTTTTCAGCTTCCGGGATCTCCGTCAGCTCTCAAATTGCCTTTAGGAGGCCATCAGGCTGCATCAAGACCCAACTTGTACTTAGCATTTTAAAATCTGGAATGTCTGAAAGAAGACTGTTAGAAAGCAAAGGATTCTCCATGCTTTAGGCTAGGAACTTACAGGGAAATTTACTGTCAAATGATTTCAAATGACTTTGTTAAGGTTGTGTCAGAGCCTGGATTCCTTACATAATTTTATGAGTTTAGACATTTTGTTGACCTCTGGATGAAACTTTGACTTCATGTGGTTCCTTAAAACTCTTATATTAATGGATCGTGTTCGTCATTTTTTGGAAGTGCGGAAACATCTTGAAAGACAGTCTGTGTGCAAGTGTTCGCTCTCCACGGCAGCCAAGCAGCTCAGAGATTTGCCTCCAAACTACAGAGACATTGCTCTAGTATAAATATACATGCAGCATATATTTTTGTGGCATCTATCGCTCATAAAATGCTATTTATTTAAAGCTGTAGACATGAAACTACTTGCAAGCAGATTAGATCACTGCTCAATCACTGCTCGATACACTGCTGCCCTCTACTGGTTCGTGTTAAATACTGTCATGCACTCATAAGAATTTTTTCATTATGGCAACTTATTCTCAGGAACAGCTCTTAAAAATCTACAGCCCGCACATTTGTGGGAATAAGATTAAAAGACAGATACTAGTGACCTGTTAAGTTCATTGTTTACTACCACCAGTAAGAATACTGAGCAACAACCAACAGATATTGTTTTCAGATGCATACTAGACATAAGCATTTGGCATGAACTTTGATTGAAATTATGTACTCAACCTTCCTAGCTATTCAATAATTAAAAAGACTGTAAAAACAATAATACATTTAAAATTAAGCTTAGTGCCTACAAACACAGAATTTAGAGCACTCTTGAATTTATTTTTCAATCAGTTGTACTTTACATGTAGTATATTGCTGCCACCTGCTGGACAAACTGCTAAATTTATTAGTGATTATTTACTATTGGTAGCTCTCAATTACTTCATGAAAATAATGAGAATTGTATTACTCTACAAGTAGTTACCTTCTGAAATTAGGGATGTCAAGAAAAAATTAATTTTGGAGTGATTCAATTTTAATCTAACATCAACCTCTAGTGATACAACTTGTGTTTATTTCCTGCAACAGTTATAGCAACATACAACAACGCTTCTCTAGTTCAGAATAACTTCTCTAACCCAGAAAGTGGGTGCTGATTTTCAGACTCTCTTTACTATGCATATATTGCATCTCAGAGTTCTTGCACACAGAAAATATTCTTCATTCCCAATAAGAAACCAGCCAAATCAACTATGTACACACACATATTTTACACACATATATTCACACTTTAGTCAGTATTTCTAATTTTACAATATTATACAAATAATACCACTACTCTCATTCTACTGATCCAAGGAAACTTTCTTGTTAGAGCTCCATCTGTGGCTTGGAACATTCTACTTACCAAGAATAGAGTTCATGAAGTATTAAAACATGTAATTGCACTGTTGTTACATATTTTATTTTGGTAAGACTAAGGGTTTTTTTTTATTACCTTTGAACTCCAATAACCTTCCTTTTCTCAGCCTGACATAACCAAAAAAATATTTCCCCATGTTATGGTACTGTAATTGAAATAGATTTTTTAAAAATTCAAGCCCAAATCTTAGTCTACAGGTTTTCATTCATCTCCTATTTGTTTTTTTGATCTTTAATGTAACTAATGATTTATATTGGTGGTATAACAGGATTTTGAGCACTTACCATAGGGTTAATTTACATGAGAGAGAGAGGTTACATGTCATATGACAGGAAAAGTAAGATGAGTCAAATGAAAACAGAAGTGTCCAAAAGCCACTGTCCTCTGGACAAGTTTAAAATATGATTTATATAGCAATGTAAGTGAGCAAAGGGCTATGCAATAGAGGAAGGGTGCCAAGAAATAAGTCCCTCCCTTGAAAAGTTTACTGTCTAAAGGCACGAGTAAGTACAATGCAAAGTAAAAACAAACAGAATGACTGGAAAGCTTCATGGAATAAGTAGTTTTTAAAAGTCGCTTTGAGGGAGCTGATGGATGTTTCCTGGTGTGCAGTAATTGGTGTCCAAGTAAAAGGGTTGAAAGAGAATACAGGGAACAAGAGGGGCGATACCATAGAAAGAGATGAGGTCCGAGACCTAAAGTTTGTCTACACGTGCAGCCTGCGCTCAAGCCCATGACGCTGTGCCTTCATTGCAATTGGTACTGCATTGACTAGATTAAAGCTAGCTTGGGCACATGTCTACATGCAATCACCTCTCCAACTGCAATGCAGACATACCTTTAAGTAGCACCAGAACTATAAAGCGCTTTTAAAGGCAAGACAATATTCAGAAGTAGAGAGTTCAGAGGACAGCCCAATGTGGAACTGTGTAATAAAGTTTTACAGTATTGCAAGTAAATGCATTTTCATGAAATCTCACCGAGGTCTGCTCCACACAGAAAGTTACGCAGGTTTAGCTAAAGGTGTGATGCTGTATCAAGTAAGCTTAAACCACTTCAGCTTTCTGTGTAGACACTCTTCCATGGGTTTAAACTGAGCTTAAATTGGTGTAGCTTGCCCCATTGTATTATTTAACAGATATAAGCTACACAGATATAAGCCATGTTCAAACCAGCATAAGATTGTCTACACTCAAAGTCAAAGACGTTTAAGCTCAATTAGTGCAGTATCCAACCTTAGTTAAACCAGTGCAACTCCTGTGTGTAGATGTAGAGTTGGTTTGCTCTTTTCCATTAGCACTCCTGGGAGTTACTGCAGAAATCCTCTCTGATACCATGGGGAGGAGAATAGGCTTCTAAGAACATAATCATGGAACTTCCATAAAGCTCCCAACAAGGCCAAACTCAGTACGAATACGCTAGACACTCTTATTTTAAGGTTCTTGGAAGATGGCATGTCAAGGTCTCATTGGTATCAGATGAGACAGTAATATGCTGTCATTGCTAGTCACGAAAAGTATTAACTGTGCAGGAGCAGTACAGAATATTCACATTTAAAACAGCTCAGGTAGATGAGACGAAGGATTGAGACACAAAAGGAGCTGTCTATGCACAAGTGCTGGCCCTGAAGTATTTACCCCTGGGTTCAGAAACAAGCTGACACCACATCTAGTGATAAAATTCAAATCTTTCTATTCCATGAGGGATGGGATCATCACACTCAGTCTAAGAACGATTCTCTACAAATTTGCTTACTGGGAGATTTATATTCCAGGTTCATTTCAGAGGGTCAGACTGGGCCCTCCACAGGAATTGAAATGGGCCGTTACTATTTTTAAACCCACGGAGATGTCTGGATGCAGCGTTTTTTCTTTGGGATGTCTGGGTGGGAGAAGAGAATCCACATTGCCTGTTGTGTAACCACAGATTTCTTCTCCATTGGATAGCACTGCAGAATTGGATGGAGATTGCACCTTGTCTACATCAGCCCCTAACCTGTCTGAGCTTACCAGTGGTCTACTCTGTATGGAGGTTTGTGAGTGGCCTGCCAGGAGGAACGACTAACGCACAAGATTCACTTGACAGCCTGCAAGGTTCACACAGAGCCAAAGTTGAGGGGTACAAGCGGGGAAAAGAGGGAAAGGAACAGACAGGGAGGGGGATGAAAGGGAGACAGAATGGAGAGGAATATTCCTTTTAGTAAGAAACAGACAAGAAAGGAAGAAGAACAAAAGGTGAGAGACAGAGAAAGGGACAAAGAGAACAAGAAAAGGGAAAACAGAGAAAACAGGAGAGAAATGACAAGGGTCACTGATTTTAGATTGGCAAATTAGATTTTACTTATTCGTTTCACCGTATTCCTTCACCAGGTGTATATTTCTAATAATTAATAAATGGGACGGATGTATATTCATGAGTACTGTTTTTAATTGCTCCTTAACAATCAAATACACCAATTCTGTCTGACACCGCTTTTCCTAGAACTTTGTACATACTTGTTCATTTCTGTACCTCACTTTGAGTACAACACAGCTTATTCAGTTTCATCTCGGTTCCTCACTACTGAAGGGACAATGAGGAATTCCGAAATGGACCATTTCTATATGAACAACAAATATTTTCTTCCAAGCGGAGAGAAACTGTACTAAAATACTTCCGGCTGCAGTGCAGTTTTCTACAGTGACAGAAGACTTTAGTCCTCTGGTTCCAGATAGATATATTGACATATTGACATAAATGAACGTAATGGGCACTCTATCTTAACCTAAAAAACACTACAGACCAGAACACAATGTCAGATATCAATAAATTACTCTTTACATTCAATTTCTAAATGTTTAAAGGTAGCAATCGGACCTACCACACATAACAAGCACATTAACTTTTTCACGGGAGTTGTGAGAATGTGTTCCCAAGGGCAGATTTGAATCCAGGAAATCTATGCAAGTAGTGCCACTTACACCAATCTACACAGGTAAGAGC